TTCAAATGATAACTTTTGATAAATAAACAATAACGTGGATGACATGAATGGACAGCGGTAGTGGGATTACAAATTACGATTGGGCAGATTGTCAAAGTATACTTGTCGCGTTTGGTGAAGACTGACTGATATACTCAGTCAGAGATTACCATGTTGAGCCTAAGTTTTTATGCCACAGAGAGTGACGTTGGAGGCAGATGATACCAAGACCTATAGCATATAAGTGCAGCAACAAAGTTTGACTGCGTGTCGAGGTCAAGTCAATCAGTATTCAATGTTTTTTAGTAGAATTGTATGAAGTATCTGCTCGACTTCTAGAGGCAGCTTGACGCCGGGGTCTCTTCTTGTTTTTATTTGAGGTGGTACTACTTGATGTTGAATTCGTGGAATGCGGGATCCCGGTGGATGATGGTGTTGATGGACCTTGGGTCGCGACACTGGGAGTCGGCTCGAAATCCAAACTTGGTGTTCTTCGTGGTGTTTGAGGGGCAGGCCTGGAAGTATATGAGGGTATTGAGGGAAGAGATTCAGTTTGGTCAATAGCAAGCCGAGACCTGGTGCCCACCAAATCATCTAACTGACTGGCTTGATTGGTTGGCACGATCAAGCCGATGGAACATGTCAAGGTGTGGTTCTGATTCACTTTGGGCGATTTGCGCGCGTGCCACCATAGACGACACCTTGTTTACCTAGAGACCAAATTAGTTAGAGTGAGTCGCGTGATGCATGTGCATGTTGAATCTTACGACAACAATATAGCGACGGGTTGCCTCATTAAAGCCCTTGATATAGCCATGGAATTGGCATTCCGATCCAACCTTGACAACTTGTCGATATGGGTCAAAGTTCTCACTTGGCGGGATATGATACTCAATTGTCATGGATACGGGTAATTTGGTCTATGTAATGTGGTTAGTGTTCACAAACTACCGAGTTGGTCAAACTTCTGGAACGAACCTTAGGATGGTAATCACAGTGTTGGGCAATGACAAAAAGTGTCATGTTGTCGGGGTTGGCCGGGAACGATTCGCTGTAATTCACGTTTTGGTTGACAGCAGAGTTAATTGAGAGGACTATCCCAGTACCAGTCAAGCCTACGCCGTCGGCCAGGCTCTCCATGAAAGTTGTGTGATTCCCAACTTGACGACGATCAGAACCTTCAAAAAAGAACTCATCTACGGCACCATTCAATCTGGTAGTTGGGAAAAACTCGCCACGTAGGAAATAGATATGTCTTGGCAGAAGCTGTAATTCGGGGGTACTGAGCCCAATAGCCTCGATTTGATTTGTGAGTAATTGGGTACCATCAGTTCCCATACAGGTAATTGTTGAGTAGTAATTCCGGTAAGTTGCCTGGATTGCTTGGTCGGTATTGAACTGGAATGGGAACCAAGCAATAAACGTAAGCCGAGCAAAGGAATATACATAGTGCGCCAGAGTGGGCGGCCTACCGGGCCAGGGCTCTCGAAGTAGCCGGATAGGTAGAAGGTACCAACGGTGCGGACGCAGTCTACGGAAGGTTCGAGTACTGTGCGCAATGAGATGTCAATCAGTATGGCAAGCCCAACTAACAGCGTTGCCGATGTAGGTGAGATGAGATTGCTTACGTTCTTCATTTTCACATGGGTTGACCAACACCCGATTGCGCTTTATGAGAGCTCGGAGTTCATGTTCATCAGACACCTGTCTCTGAAGCGGGGTGAGTTATGCTAGATTGTTGTTGAGTAGTTCGGTCACGTACCTTCATCTCGATTTCGAAGTTGCCAGAGATGTAGAGACCATGCCCGGTGCAGGCCATGGTTTCCAGCATGAGGTACCGGAAGCTGCGAATATTATTGAGAATCGACTGATGATAACAGACAAATAATATACCTGACGTCCACTGATGGTGATATCCAATGGGAATTGAATGGTAAAGCGATAAGTCAGTCACAAAACAGTAGATGAATGAAATAACGATGGATCCGGGTAACCAAGCTACGGGGTGTGGAAGACAGGAAAGCTCAGTTATATATTCATATTCAATAACATGGTTGATACGAACGGCGATGGACCGAAACCACTGTAGATTGGAAATGTGGAATTGTAAGGGGTGGCTGGCTTGCGCATGTATAAATTACGCGGAACGGCGTGGTGGTGGATCGAATTGAAAGTGGGTGAAGCAGGGGGGGTTTGTTGAAAAAACGAACGCAAAGGCCACGCAATTGCCGGGAGCTAATACCAGTAGATTGCCGGTAGGCAATCGTGTCAATCGTGAGTGGCAGGATGGAGCCGAGAGAGCGACGAACCTACAAACTTTGAACAGGTTAACGCGTAGCAATTTGCGCAGGTGATTGAGATGCAGAGCTTGTGAGATGTGAGGTAACGTTATTCTGACCGTGGCCACCGCGAGGTCTTGAGCAAAGTCATTGACTGACACGATGATATTGGAGGCGATATGCGATTCACTGAGGTGTGCTGAATGCCACGCACCTCGATATGAACAACACGCAGAAACACCTTGTATACGATGATCAAACAGTTGGGGATACAAATCACCGCATAAGGATTATTCGGTCCGGTGGATACAGAGCTTAGCCGAATGTCAGCGCAGACTCAACGAATCACACGCGCAGTATACCAACAGTGAAAGTCGATGAATGCCAGGAGAGCCAAAGTTCAGGCGACCGAACGTGAGCCCATTATTGTGCACCGCAAGGTGGCAATCGATACAGCTGGATTGTGAGATAGGGAGTTTAGTGGTGTTATAAAACTGTGATCCGGTGGGAACTGATTTCCATTTCCTGCGAAGCAACGTACCACTTTTCTCAACAAACATGAACCATCCAGTGAAACAACCCGTAATCGTCTATTCTGTCTTCAACGTCACCAACATAGTGAGTATCAAGCGCAGAGTGTTATGTTGTCATACGAGGGTCTGAGCTGCATCATTTCCAGGTACCTGGCTTCAGCCATACACAATTGTGTGACTTGCCAGAAGCCCAAGCAACATTCGGGAGAGCCCTAGACAGTGCTCCGACTTACGAATGGGGTCTATCACTTCTTCCTGATAGCTCAGTACCGTTCTACGTCAACGAGCCAGGACAGTTTAATCTTTCAGGGCACTTCTTGCCCCTCGGTGATTATCCTCAGCCAATCTTGTATTATGATTCGCACTCTTCTGGCCGATTGGACGGTTCTTTCATTGGTGAAGACCGGAAGCCTAGGCGAGTTTGCACGTCCAGCAGTGGCGTTGTTGTTCGTATTGAGGATGTGATTGCAAATAACCTCAGTCAGACCAGAGTCGTGATCCGTCATACTGATTATAGCTATCTCGTGAGTACACGCAATGAATTTACAAAGTGTAATGTGATCTGAGTACCTTCAAAACAGGACCGTGATTTCCGTACGTTTAACGTTGAGTACTTGTGCAACTGGCACAAAGTCAGATCAGGTTTTCGAGATGAACTGGTTGTCGGCCGAGTAGTCGAAATATCTGGTACATTATGTGGATTCAATCACCAAACTCATTTGTGGAGAATCTTAGTACGTTTCGTTTAGATGATGATTAGGTTTGTTTGGTTACCATATGAATCCTAAAGTCAATTACTCGCCTGTTGCATAGGTTGATTGCATGTACGTAGGCCACCTACAAGACGGTGGCAATGAGTGAGGCACAGGAACATCGAAGTAATTGGCTAAACCAAACCCGAGAAATGTCATTGATTGTTTGATCTTTGTTCAAAGATTTTTTCAATTTTTTAACTTACTGCATTTGGTGTGAATTCAAGTTGGGTTCACTTTTGAAAAACAGAACTTGATTTAGTAAAACAAATCTTACCAAATCGATTTGAAATCGAAAATAAATTGTCTTGTTTTGTATGAAGTATGTTTTGAATGATAAATCGACGTTGAATTTGAATTTTTTGAATATCTTTGGTGGCCAAGATTTCCAAACCCTTGGGGTTGGCGTCTATTAACGGAAATCGCCACAATGATAATAAATCATAAGTTAGAATCCATAGTTTGAGCCAGTATTTGTTCTTTGCAATGATATACGCTGAATGATGATCAGAGTTGAATCTTGATGATGAAGTAGCCGGAGGTGATTTGTGTAAAGGATGAATTGAAATCAGGACGTGAACTGTTGAACGTAAAGTGAGGCGATGTGAATCCAATGGGCTTTGTTTTTGCGTAGTTCTTGAATTTTTGATTTCTAAGTTGTTTTGTTTCGTATGGTTTTTGTTCTCTTTGATTTGTAATTTGTGTGTTTTGAGTTGATTGAGTTTATGATGGAGTTGAATGGATTTTCCAAAGATATCGATTTTCTGTGAATCAAATTCATGTCCTGGCATCTCACGCGGTGCTTTCGTTGCTTTCTCAGTTTCCAGGTCGCAAGTTACAGTATTTACTCAAGGTTTGCCGATGACACTCGCCGTGTCCGACGTTGAGCGATGATTGCAAGAGTTTTGTAGATAAAATGTAGAATTCAGTCAAGACTTCAGTTCCGTTGAGTAGATAGAGTGAGTGGGACAAATCTGTGAGACCTCAGCTGTGATTTGTGAACATTGTTGGGCCGGGGTCAGGAGTGCACACATGTTAGGAGACCAAGGCAACGACTTAGGCGTTCACGTCTGCGTAGACACGTGATTTGTGCGTACTAATTCAGAACAGGGCAGCCTCTTGATGCATGAGATGCGGTGAATCAAGTCACTCAAAATTGTAACAACGTGAGTGGACACTTCAAAAGCAGAGTGGGCGAATACGTGATGTAATTCACAGAAGTTGAGTAAAGGCAGAAATCAAAAAATAATTGTATATTGGAACATTTCTGCACATTGTGCTTGGTTCGAATACGAAGAAGCTGCTGGGTGGATGATACATGGGCCTGAAAATGAAAAAGTGAACGAATTGTTTTTGCATTGGGAAAACTGTAATCGCACGTGGATTAAGTCGCATCGTGTCCTTTGGAGCTGTTCGGCAAGGCCCTGTGAAGATCAAAGGTGTCAGTTCTGGGCGCAATATGAGTCAAATCGTTGACTCAAACACACCATAATTTGACCATGGGTCAAACGATCCATAAAGTGGCACTGTATCCCGAGAGCGCAAATGAAGTGACCAAAGAAGCATCCGTGGGTTCATGACCTTTCGGAAGTTGGAAAACAATGTGTTTCAAATGGGCAGGAACGG